AAACATTTTAGAATTGTTTTTTGAATATTAAGGCACAAAATCCACTAAAATGGGCCATTAAACTTCATTAAATACTTTCAATTCTCAATTCTTTAAAGAAGAAATAATTTTTTGCAGAAATGAGATTTGATTACTCACTTCTTTGAATATAAAAATATTACCAATACTCTGTAAAGACTTAGCAAGCTAAAAGGATTTAATTTTATGATTCAGTGGTATTACAGGGGTAAGTATTAAAAGGAGAATCAGGTGCTTCATCATTATTTTTAATTGAAGAAATATTTTCAAATGTTTTAGTTAGTACACAATCATATATTCATGGGAAGTATGTGATATTTTGCTATATGTACACAATATATAATGATCAAATCAGGGAAATTAGCATTTCTAGCATTTCAAATTTTTTTCATTGTGTTGATAAAATTCAAATTCTACTTTTCTAGCTAGCTTAAAATATACAAAATATTATTTTTAACTATAGACACTCTGTTCTCTCAAAGAGCACTAGAATGTATTCCTCTAATCTAAATGCAATTATGGCCAGGTCTGATGGTACACATCTGTAAATCCAGCCCTCTGGAGGCAGAGGTAGGAGAATCACTGTGAATTTGACAGCAGCCTGGGCTACATAATAAGTTTAAGGCTAGTCTGAATTACACAATGAGACCCCGTCTCAAAAAGACAATAAATAAATGTAATTACGTATCCTTTAACTGATCTCTTTCTCTCCCCAGACTCTCATGACCACTATTTTACCATGTCAAGCTGCCAACATTTTTATTTTCCCGGTATTAGTAAAGAATCATTTATTGAGTGACTATTGTGTTTCTAGGATTTTGTTTTGTTATGCAGAAGCTAGCTGAAGTTCTCAAGGAAAGTGTCTCTCACCAAGTTCTTAAACTAAATAGAACAAATTCCTGTATGTAATCATTACCAGGAACATCTAAAGCCATATGCCATTTTCTTCTGAGACAAATGATTCAGTTATACTTTTTTTTTTTTTTTTGTCTTTTTCCTTTTTATCGGTACCAGGGATCGAACTCACGACTGCCTGCTTGCTTATGCTGCTGAGCTAAATCCCCAGCCCCTGATTCAGTTATACTTGATATATTACTTTTAAAATAATTACCTTTTTGTCAAATTATAATACTCAGAAACTGGTAAAATGTTGATAAGACAAAGATTGGCTTACTCTTTGCTTCTCCATTGGCATAATGCCAGGTGTCACTGTTCAGTGCTTCACCTACTAAATAGGACAAAATATGATGCTGCAGCTGTCCCCAGTGAGAGCAGAGTGCAGGGTAACACACCATGTCCTCCAGTGGGGGACTCTACTGCTTGCATCAGGACAGCCACCCTCCAGAAACCTCCCTGAGCTCAAAAGGAAGCTCCTCATTAGAGCACAAGCAGCAGGCGCTCATCTGTGAGGCTGGACAATGCCACTGAATGTGAGTTCATGATGTGCCTCAGAACAAAACCACACACACTATGTTATCCACACGTTCATCATGGATATCAGAGATTAGTGATTACATACTCTCATAGAAACTGAAGATGCATTTTTGGAAACTCTTAGGCTTTTATTTTTATCAAGTTGCTATAATATCTTCTTAAGGGATTATAAGTTTGGTATTATTGCAGTTTATTTTAACACCAATAGAACAGTTGAGCTGGAGGGAAGAAAATTGGTCCATGGAAGAAAAAGGAGAAGGAAATAAAGTCATTAAAGGAGACTTAGACACACACATTTTCACAAACTTCTCCTCTATACTTGCAGTGTATTTGGAAAGATTTTATACAAAATGTATAAAGAATGAGACACTGTCCTTGCTGTTATACAAGCCTGGGCATAGGAAAAGGCATGGTTGTTGCTCCTAATGCATGGAGCATAGGAAGAGGCATGGTTGTTGCTCCTAATGCATGGAGCATAGGAAGAGGCATGGTTGTTGCTTCTAATACATGGAGGTAGCAGATCTTCAGGTCTGGAAAGATGAGTTACTATTCCTTGTTGTCATCTGTAGATAGACAACAGTGAACTGCGGCTCCTAAGTTTTTAAACCAAAATATCATGGTTTGTAGTCACAAGCCTGGAATATATACATATTCAAAACCCTTCACTTTAAGCAGTGTGTGGTGGCTTCTTGATTTATCTTGTCTCATTTTCATATTAGTAGACACACAATCAGGAGCCAAGCAGAGCTGTGACAGCACAACAGCTGCAATGGTAGAACTGTCACCACTTGCAGCATACACTTAGAAAGGTCCACAATGGGGAAATTTTTCCTGCTGTATTAAAAAAAATTCAGCCTGTGCAATGGTATGGATGCAAATGTACCTAATGTAGTGCTACAACAGCCTGAAAATTTGCTGGATTTTGGGAATCAAGCATACATTGACTCATGCATCCACACCTCAACTTGTCACAATGTTTCAATGACAAGGCAGTGTCTAGAGCCACACTATATTTCCCACAATGCAATCTGAGTGCAATACTGAGGGGGTGTTCTGATAATTACAATGCTGAATGGTAGTCTGTTTTGACTGAGTGATTCTTCAGAGACTAAAGATAACCAGGCAGACATACCCAAATTAATATTCATGTTATATGTACTCAGTTTGTCCTAGCCAACAGCAATGATACCTCTTCCTGCCTAGCAAACATAAATATCCAGCATATTTAAGTTTCCAAATCATGAAGAATGCAGTTCTTCATTTGGACTACTATAACTGTGTAGAGCTTATTTATTTATTTATGTGCTGAATAACTGAATTATATAAAATAGAAATGTTATGAATTGTTTTTTCTTTGTTTTGGGGCCTGACATTTTTAAATACATGTACCACCAAGTACTCAACAATGAAATTTTCACCAGCAGGCTCATATGACCTCCAGCAACATGCTTTTATCTTCAAGTACATTAAGACAAGTCCAATAAAGGATAATAACATCTGAGATGCAACTTATTGGAGAGAAACAGAACAGGAGCAGGTGTTTTCTCTGCGCTGACCTTGCTTCCAGATCCACAAGGCATCTCCTCCAGACCCATCAATATGCCCCTGCAGCTCAGGGTATTTGTGGTCAATTTAACAGAAATGGTAGAAATAAAAACTCACCACAAAGTACAGCTGCCTGCCTTCTCTTTTGACTTCCACAAAGTTTATATTGAACCCCATATTAATCTCATTCCTACATGAAATTTGCATGAGAGGGTAAAAGAATTATTCAAACTTTATAAATCTCTTCAGCCAGAAAGATTCATTAATAATGCATGAAGAAAACTAAAATTTAGCATGAAATATAATTTATGAAAATTGCAAAAATGAATTGATTCCACAAAAAAAGTTATGTTAGGGATGACCAGGAAGCTTCCTCAGAAAATAATTTGTGAGATTTAAGTAGAATTAAAATAACACTATGTTTTAAAAAGTATTTTAGTTGTAAATTATATCAACTATACGAGTTGTTAATTAAGTAAATGTACTACAATCATAAAATATTCTGGTCACTTTTAACTTCTGCTTGACATGGGAAACATGGCAGAAGAAGAGAAGAGTTATGAAGGCATGTGACATCTATTACATGAGGCTTTCAGTGACTTCTCAAAGTTAACTTTCAAAAGTTGAAGAATTTATTTTTCTGAACTTAAGCAAATATAACATCTGCTTTTAGAGAGGATGGTTTTTAATTACTAATTAATGCTTTTTAGTGCTAACAAAGTAATTTTTAATTACTAATGAGTCCAGTCTGGACTGTAACTTGTGAAATCTAATAAGAAAGAAAGAAAGAAAGAAAGAAAGAAAGAAAGAAAGAAAGAAAGAAAGAAAGAAACTGAAAGGAAAGAAAGGGAGGGAAGAAAGGCAAAGGAAGGGAAGTAGAGAGGAGGAAGAGAAAAGAAAAGACAAAAATCAGGCTCCAGCATATTGTCATATTCTGTCACTCACTTACATCCCTGATCTGTATTCTGTAATTTTCAGTGCTATGCATATTCTTGGACTTTCAACTGTTACAATAGCTCTAATTAGTTTAAAGCTCTGTTTTCTATTTAAAACTTTACAAGCTTCCTTCAACCCAGTATCAAAAATTACAACTGCAAAAATGTCTTTGCATCAGTCCAGGAAATTACCTGATATATCTGAAATTGTCTGTCATATGTGAGCACAGGGCACCACACACACACACACACACACACACACACACACACACACACACCTGACCACTAGCTTCTTGAAAAACTGAAATTTCTGAATTCATCTTTAAATCATCTTGACTGAACAAGACTGCCTAACCCATGCCAGATGCTTAATCACCACGAATATGAAGAAGGAAAGGAAGGATACAGAAATAAAATCAAATTCTACTGATGCTACTTCAGAGACAAGCTGCCCGTTCACACGAACAGTGTATTTCAGGTTATTCTCAACTGCAGAGGGGAAAAGACCAGTAAAGAGATGCCTGTCCAGGGACCAAGGTTACTCTTCTGTACGTGCAGAAAGTAGCTATCTAAGTGATGCTGTGTAATCAGGGAAAGCCCAGTTTAAAAATACCAGTCTTTCCCCAACCATATTGCTGACATTGGAAGGTCCTTTGAGTGAATTCTACTGTTTCATGACACTACATTGCTGGCAAGGTGGCCCTCTGACTTGGAGTCTATACCCACTGCAGTGTATAGCCAGATGCTATATCCTTTTCTGAAGCGAAGATTTTGAATGTAATTATGAAAAACAAGCTTTCCCTAAACATCCAAACATAATATGTACAAAAAGAAAATGCACAGAGTCAGGAAAGCAGTTCAAAATTTATGAAGGGGGAGCACAAGTGTTGGGACTACGGCTAAGGAAGCCCAAAAGGAAGAACTTGCAGAATGGAATCTATGTTTGTAAATAAAGGCATATGTTAGTCATTTCTCAGTTCTAAAATAAGAGCAGTTGTTCCTGGGCCTGGTCGCTGAGTGGCCTTCTAGGGTTTTCAGCACAAAGTATGTCTTAAAAATGTACCATACCTACAAACAGCTGGCTGTTCAGCTGCAGGCGGAAGTGGCCCTCCTCAGAGGTCTCCCTGGTGCTCCGGGGAAGGCTGTCCACCTGGAGTGAGGTCTCTTTGAGGCTCCTCTCTGCCCGAACGTAATGCCATTGGTTGTCATTCAGTGGAGAAAGAGACCGGACGACAAGCTCTACAGGGCCATTCCCAACATCAATGGCAAATGTGATCTCCGAGGGAGCTGGAACCACACAGAGAAACAGGAAGGAGGATGAAGGCAGCCATTGTTGTGTGAATGACACACGGAATGAATGGCAGGAACTATTTTGAATCAGTGTATGCAGGAAGAACATCCTTCTAAGTCCCTGCAGCACTGACATCACTAGTAATAGAAACAACCACAAAACACTGAGGTACACATGTTCTGCATACTCTTAGGTGATCCTTAATTTGAACATTCAGAAATAGAACAAGGACCTGGGCCCCTATGTCCTATGTTTGATAACCACTCGTGTGTGTGTGTATAGTAGCTCTGAGTTTCCCAAGATCTACTCTGGTTCAGCTGTGCATTCCTCTGTTTCTGCAGACATAGGGTTAGTAAGCAGCTCCACTTATTCAGGCAGGAGCCTTATCTGCTGGGAAATCCAGCGCCCTCGTCCATGTTTAATGAACTTAATATAATTGTTTATATCATTCCCATAGCTAAAAAACAAAATGAAGTCAAGAACGTTTAAGTGCCTCTCTCCAAGACTTCACTACACAAATTCGATTATCAGGTGTCATGCCAAACACAAACTATGATGTTATGATTCTAACCTAAAACTTGCCCCCAAAGTCTTATGTGTTGAGAAGTAGGGAATCCGGAAGGTGATGGAACCATAGAAGGCTCTACAAGCATCACTGGATGAATCCACTGATGAGTTTATAACAGAGACGGGTAAGGAGGTGGGGCCCAGCTGGAGGAGACCAGTCACTGGACAGTGTCCTGGAAGAATGGGTGCTTGTTCCCATGTTCTCCCTCCTCTCTGCTGCCTCCACACGCCTTTCCTGCATGTCTGTGTCAGAGCCAGCCAACCATAGACTGAACACTCAGAAGTCCAATATTCATTTCCTCTTCTCAGTTCCTGGTGTCCGGTGTTTTGTCTCAGCATTGAGAAAGCTGACTAACACATATGCATTCTCTCATTTTAGCCTTGCAAACCATCGTAGGAAAAATACATCATTATCCCTACTTTATGAGTGAGAAGAATTTCAATAAGTGTGAATAAAAATGTCCTCTGGGTTTCCCAGATACTAAGTAGAATCTGACTTCAGAGGCAGAATTTCTTACTAAGTTGCCCTATTGAATATATTCTTACATTTTCCATTATTACATAACAGTTTTCTAGGTCTGAAATAAGTATAGACTTAATTATAAAATGAATTTGAAGAGAAGGCAGCCTTCTGTGAGTAACTGCAATTTTCATGTGCCACAGCTTTCCCTCCTCTATACTGTGTCACTGTCCCTTTTCCCTTAACACTTAGCCCAGGAAATAAGTACTTATTTAACACCATCATCAATTGCCAGTATAAATTAAAGAAATGTCAGAAGACGAACATCACCCTAGGTCACTACCTGCGCAGCCATTAAGCAGTAACAGAAAGCTATCCTTAGTACAGCAATCACCTATAGAGAATTTCAAGTGACATACAATTTTGAATTGCTTCCTTTCATGAGAAGGCCTGACCTCAAAGAGAAGCAGAAAATTGGACTTTAAGAGCATACTCTAGAGTCATCCTTCCCAAAGCAATTTTTCATTGTACCATGCCCATCATCAGGTTAGTTACATTTTAATCCTGATGATTTTCTTAGGACTGTACCTGGCACACAGCGTGGGCACAAGATGTGGTAACTGTGGCTGTTAGTGCTGCAGTCCATAGTTTTCCACTCCAGCCCTGGTTGTGACTTTTAAGGCATCTTGTTTGGACATTCAAAGCCCTCAGCCCTGCTCTCCTGCTCCTTTCAAACTAGAACGTGGTCTCAGTGATGCCTAGGCTTCGGGAAAATGTAGCAACTCTACTATAATAGGGGAGGCAGAATCTTGGAAACCTAGTTCATAAGTACCTGTTTTGCTCTGAAGATCAAAGGGTAAAGCTGGGTGAGAACTTGGGAAGGGATATTAAAGATCTAGCTAAAAACCTTCTTGCAATGCCAGCCTTATGAATATTAAGTTTCACTCTGAGAGCAGGTCTTTGGGGACGGCCTGCCACACTCCATGGCTGTCCCAGCCCTGCCTTCACATGAGATTTCCTGTCTGTACTTAGCTCAGCTGAACCTTGTGTACTCCTCTTATACAAGGATGGGTTTACTGTCTCTCTCACCCATTTGCAAACTGCAGAGGATCCCTTTACTCACTTTGGACTTAGCACTCAGCATCAAATCAAAATTCTATGCATTAAAGCATTGTTGAACTGCACATATGAAATGCAGTTTTGAAATGTTTTTTGGTGACTTTCAGCTAAAATTTTTTGGATCTTTGGAAAATCTTTTCTGAAAAATTATAATATACTTTTATTCAAATAATAATTAGAGACCTGTAATGTTTAGATATTCCTTCTACATCTGAAAGACAATCAGCAAATCCAATAGTGATAGGTACTATGCATTGAGTATTTACCATAAACTGTGCATTTGCTTAGAATTGTTATGAATTAATTCATTGAAGCCTCACTACATTGTTAGGAGACAGGTGCTCCTCTCACAGATGAGAGGTCCAGGTCATAAACAGGATTGTCCAGTGGAATGGTGTGGAACAGAATTGGAAAGAAGGTAGTGTAGCCGCAGAGCTCATTTTAAAACTACTGTCCTCCAAACAAAATTTTCGACCCCAAACCTGTGCAGTCTTGCAGGGCAGTAAAAGCCTGAAACATAATTACAGACACCTGACAACAACTGAATGTGAATCGCATGAGTGCATGGCTAGAGGCTGTGCGGCAGAGCACTGAGGTCAACATAAGCTCTCAGCAGCCAGAGGAAGAAACATCACCCATAGCATGATGGTGGGAAGCGAGGAGGCCCAAGACAACATTAGCTGTCATATGAACTTGACCTCTGGCCTCTAAACCTCCAACTGTCTCGTAGACGTCTTCTCTCACTATTTGTTCTTTTATGGTCACAATTAAAACTAAGGAGTCATCTTGGCCTTTGGATGAGTTTCTTTCAAGCCAAGTGGTGGGTTTGGATAATTGAGAGACTACTGTAAGTGGAGGAGCTCACCACTGACTGCTGAGAAACTTAGTAAAGCAGAGTATGAAAGTCCCCTGAGAGAATGTCTATCACATGTTTCTAGGACAGGAGAGGGCTCCAGTGTGATGCTTTCTCACAGCCTGGCAGAAATGTATACAGACCAGTGTGCCAAGTAGACAATCCAATTAGCCCCCACTGGAGGTTCTCGTCCTGCTACTCAACCCTGAACTTCATGGATCTGGAACTGAGACTTCGCTGTTTGTCAGGCCCTGGAGCAATCGCAAGGTCCATTTATGGAAAAACAGTCTTTAATGTAGTCAAGTAGCCTCTTCCATATGATCATTTCAAAATGAGAAATATAAACTAAACCAAATATGGTTATGCTTTTTGGAGACACAGATTCTTTGAGATTCTCATGAAACCATGATCATTATCTTTCACAACATAGTTTTTGACAAAACTGAAGACACTTCCTGAATGTCCCATTCCTTGTCATCTGGAAGGAAATAATTCTGTGTTTTCTAAAGTCCTGATATTCTTCATTCCTGAAAGAGTTTTGCAAAAATTGGTAGGAGACCCACAGAAAAGCAGAGTCATAGGGCTACATAATGGATTCCAACCTTTCATAGTCATATAACTCCAGGCTTACTGTCTGTGAGGTTATCTTTCTCATCTGCTCTTTGGACTATGAGTTGGACAACCATGATGTGGTACATTAGTCTCATAGTCATATATAAGACTATTTACAAACAAAATGAATTAATGTAAAGAATTTAGCAGACTGTCAAATCATAGTAATCACTCAACAATCTAGTGATCTCTGTTAGTAGTATTAATTTTTATTATTCTCTGAGGTTCTAACCTCAGCACAGACCAATTAATATCACAGGTGGTTCTTATATAACACATTTTCGTTGTAAAATATAAATCTGAGTGTTTGTATGTGTTTGCTTTTTCTCTTACTAAGCAACTCAAGAAAATTCTATTATTTTTATTTAATTTACATTGAGATGAATTGCAGAGCACACTTGAACTGATATTATTTTAAATCAATCATAAAAGATAAAAAGATTAAACTGCAATCACTTAGATAACATGATAGTAACATATTTTTTATTAGGTCACAAATAGTATGAGGATTACAATTGCTAAACACTCATCTGTCAAAAAATAGCTACTTACTAGTTCTTCATCTATTTTCAGGCATTTTTCAGAGAAGTTATATATTTTAATCCTAACATGCAGTCAACATGCTCTTCTGGGTTTTCAGCAAATGTGGCTCCACTTCCCGACAGAAGTGGGCCTAGCATAAACACTCTGCAAAAGTGGTTTGTCATCTTTTGTATCTTGGCTAGGTGAGCTGCATTTCAGAGGATTATTGGGTAACTGGATGAAAATTATCCATTTTCAGGGATAAGGCACAGCTAGCCTTAGAGCAAAGTAAATATTCAGAAGTCAGAACAGAGAAAGAGGTTGTTCAGACCACTTTGTATTAAATTGCTGAATTTAGTCAGCAATAAAGCCAGCCCTTTGTCTAGCCTTCTTCTCTGTACCAGTACCGTGGATTCCCTTCCTTGTGCTGCCATTTCACATGGAGTTTTCTGTTAATTGCAGTTAAAGACATTTGGTGTATGTGAGGATAGCCAACTCTATGCTACGTAAATCATTACTACAGAGGTGACAAAATTTCTAATACAGCTCATGTATCAGCTCCATGAACATACATTTGAATGCATGTTCGGTTCTACAACCAGACCCTTTTTATGTTGCTGTGGTGAATTTGGGAGACTATTCCTTCCTGCTCTTCCTCAAAGAGACCTGATTATCTATATTTACTTGCAACAGAGATCACTGCCAACAAAGAAATTTTTTTTTTTTTTATAATTTCATTGGAAACACAGTCACTAAGATTCAAGGGGATGGTGAACTGTCTGTTTTTTTCATAGAGGACAGACTAATCCCAAGGTGACACAACTCAAGAGTCTCAGCTGGAAATGACCCAAAAAGCAATGGACTGAAAATTTCATGGAGATCTGCTGTTCCCTGTCCAACAATTTCATATATCAACCTTGGAAGCTGATATTCAGGTAGTTGGAAAGGAATACTCCTTGGGGACAGGAAAGAAGTCTATTCTGAGCCATGACATCTGCTGGAAGGACACCCCTTTTCCATGTATCTGGTCTGCAGGGATTTTCTGCTGTAAATTCTTTAGGTAAAAATTCTATCTGCCAGAAACACAGAGTATAAGTTTAGCTATGAATAGCACATGACAGATCCCCCCCCCAGTATGAAACTTTCCCATCCAAATATTCATAAGTATAATGATAAATTTAAGAGCTATGAAGTTCTAAAATTTAAGTATTTGTCATGTAAAAATATTTTGTTATGCAGTATTCGTCAATCCAGTGAGGAAGTATACATCACATAATTATGACTGTTAATCTTTTGTAAATGAAATACCAACTTAATATTTTAAAAAGATTTGTGCAACCCAAAGGGCAACATACATTACTACAAATAATAAACAAATTGGACATCGATAGGTAATTGACACTAAATCATGGCTCATTATCTTGTGATAATGTACCATAGCATTTGTCATGGCTTTAATGAGTCAAAGGGCCATGGGGCCTGATTTTTATTAAATTTACTTTGAGGTTATTTTATCTGTATTATAAAGTGGTTGGCACTCAGCTTAACATTTTCTAAGCCCGGCCAAGTTAGGCAGGAGGGATTTTATTTCATACCAAAGCCACAAGAGCTTCCTCCCATTAGTAGTTCAAATCCTTGGAGTAAAAGGAGGTTAAGACTACCAATTAAAAAGCTCTCTTTCCTTGTGTGTATTGTGCTGCAGTTGCAAAAGAAGCACTTAGCTGCTTGGCAATTTTCTAGAGAGACTCACACAAATACCTCTGCTACCTCCTCCAGCCAAAGCATTTGTCCCCTTACTGGAGCTCTCATATTCCCAATTCCTGATGCCAAGAAAATGCTTATGCTTTCAAGGCTTTCCATGCAGTCACATCTGGGCTGTGATGCAGTCAACTGCCTCACTCAAAGCATAGGAAAAAATGATTAGAAATGGAAGGATGGGGAATCCAGTGACAAGCACAAATCATCACAGCTGTAGCCACAGAAAAGACAAGGTGAAGGAGCAGGCCATCCTGCTCATAAGCCATAAGGGAATGCACAAAGAAAAGAGAATCTCGATCCAATAGCAAAAGCAGTTGGAAATATATCTCTTTCTATCCTCATCATCACTTTCCAGTTGTTTTAAGAATTTCCATTAATAAAACATTCTTCCACCAAAAGATTTTGTTGTTTGTCTATGTTTTAACAAAAGTTAAAGTTATTCTAAAATTTTAATCATGAATTTATAAACTTCAAATCAGTATGTTATTAATTACCACTTAATAAATAGTATGGTCGGGGGGAATATGGACAACTTCAGGTATACTGTTGACTCCTGTACATGCAGACCCAAATAAATGTTTATTTTCAAGAGTTAGAAGTCAACTTTGGATTTTTCTTTTATAAAATTCCTGCACTGCCATTGTTTCCCTGCAGTCTGTCTTGGAATGCATGAATTAACATGTTCCCCATGAGAGCTGGACACAAACACTGTGTTCCCAGAAAGTTTAAGCAATTCTTAACATTTCAGAGCCTCATTTTTACCTAATAGGAGGGTAATATAGGATAATTTTCTTGCAAAAATATTCCTTGGAATTATTTTGATTGCAGAGACATTTGGGAGATGTAAGAATTAATATTTAAGAAAGACATAGTGTCATTATTTCTGAAGTTCATTATGAAACAAAATGTTTACAAACTTTTACTCAACAGCCTTATTTTTAAAGTCCTTTTAACTTTTATATTTATAGATTTATGTGAAAAAGAAATGTAATCTAAAATTAGTAGAAAACATTCTTTGCTTAAAATAAAAGAAGAAAAACATGACTTTTTTTGAGTGCCAGAAATCAAATTCATACATATGTATATATATATATATATATATATATATATATATATATATATCCTTTTTATAAAAGTGAATTAATTAACCACTGTATTGGTTTCTCTTAGGCACTGCATGATTATTTTTATTAGCATGATTACACATATAAAGTGTTCAACGGTAGAACATTTTATCTAGCACATATTGACTGCTTTCCTTTTATTTTTTAATAATTATCTGCACATAGGAGACAGAGTGTTGACAAGAAAACATGCATTCTGGAATCTAGTTCTGAGACTGTATCACTGTCCACGGTTTAGATGTGGAGAAACCTTGGGAATCTGATAGGATGGTCACACTGCACTCATGTCTAGAGATGTTAGGTAATTACTTTCGCAGCACAGGGGCAAGAAAAGTTGATCACATTTATGAACAAAAGGCATAATATTAATCCCTTCTATCTTCTGTAAACATTGTGGTCTAACGGTGTACAAAGCTGAAAGTTACAGTAAAAAGATTGTTCATGGCTCAGATAATGGGCCTGATAGTATGCATTCATGGCATTTTTAGAACACATTTTGATAAGAAAGTAAGTGATGAATGTTGAGAGCATCCACTGAACTAGACATTATCACTGCTGATGTCCTAGTGGTTTGTGGAAAAGATAAGGTTATGCTTTCTTCTGTTGACCAATGAAATTAATTCATAAATGAGGGCACTCACAGCTTATTTCAAGTCGGATGAAGTCTTTAATGCCAAGATTTTCCAGGAAAACTCCAGATAAAGCGGTGGTTTTAAAAAAGAAGGAAATGTCGGCACTGAATTCCGCATGGAAGGTAGGAAAGTGGAGATAAGAGGCTTCCGTGTAAAATGAGACAGCATTCCAGAAGTGTCCTGCAAATGACACAGTCCTTAAGTACAGATCATGGCTTTCAGTGGGGTAAGGAACTGGGCATAGAGATAATCAGGACTACAGGACACCGCAGGGAAAAGGGATCAGGGACTAACCACATCTCCTGCTCATGTAACTCAGGGAAAGCTTCCCTCGATTTAGTACTCACGGTCACCATAGCAACGCAAGGGACCAATTCTCCAAGCAGCTTCTGAGTTTGATCTGTTGGTATCAGTGATAACTATCTGCGTGACAGGCAAGTGGTCTTTGAAGGACAGAAAGCCAGTATCATTTGTCCTGAAAAATAGAAATAAAAACATAGAAAGTTAAGAAAGAAAAAAGAAAGGGAATAAAATGTGGGTCATCTAGGACCCAGATATTGAAAACTCCCTTTTCACTAGTGATTTGGGCTGATTAGAGCAGGATTAGGCAGGGAGGGGTGTAACAGAAAGTCTTGGATCTCAGGAGTGCGTGTGAAGCTGGAACGCCAATTTCAAACCCATGGCCCACTGCCAAACACCATTGGATTGCACATCTTTGTTAAGTGTGCCTGCAGAAACACAGAGTTTATGAAACTTTCTGTTGTGTATTGTGGCTAGGAACACCCTTCCTGCCCAGTGCAACACCAATGTGACATTAACTATCACTTCCATTCACCAAAAAAAGAGTAGCCATCTTAGTAGCCAACTTCAAATAGGCATCATCAATCCCTTTCCACGGTGCCTCCAGGGACTTTTTTCAATCAACTGCCAACATTTGTAATCAGTTTTCGATGTTTCTTATCACCTTTTAACTCATATAAGAAAAATCTTTTACAGTTCAAAGTTCCTTTTCTCCCTTTGCAAGTTCTTGGCAGTTAAAGATTCTGGCTTTGTTCATGTTACTTATGCAAATCAAGAATTTACTGCTTCCTTTTTTACAATTTTACAAAAAGAGGAGCAAGTCATTATTTTCCCCCTTATTACATTGCATTTTAGGTGTAAGGTGGGGATTATGCCATTTTTCTGAGAGTAAAAATGGATAGGAAGAAGGTGACACTGACTGCACAAATATTTTAAGCCAGAAATACACAAGGAGATAGAGCTGGGGCACACAGTTCAGAGAAAGAATTCTTATGTAGCATGCAGGAAGTCTTCTTCAATCTCTAGCACTACAGAAAGATGATAGATATATAGATAGATAGATAGATAGATAGATAGATAGATAGATAGATACATGCATACATACATAGGTAGGCAGACAAAGGAATACAAAAAAAAAACTCTCCTTGCAATACTGTTTTTTTGTTTTGCACTGGGGATCAAACTTACAACCTCGTACTTGCGAGGCAGGTGCTTTTATGCTGCTGAGCTAAATGCCCTGCCCTCCTTGTAATACTTTCATAAGTGAATGAAATTATTCCCATTTACACATAGAGACACTGGCTGAGAGACATTAGGTAATATTATAGGCAACAAGTGCATGAATCAAGACAGGTTCTTGATACTCTTCAGTAATACAACATGTACTTCAAGGACAAAGCTTCAGAAGCACACAGATTTCTTCTGGACTTCCAACTCCCTGCTCCTATCTATGTTACTCCGGGCCTATAATTTCTTTCTATGATCCTTAGTGTGCTAAGTGTTTAAATGGAGATACATCTGATAATAGCTTGAACAGGATTAAATGGGATTATATAACCACTGAACATGCTACATGATCTATGTTAAATGATCAGAATAGCAATGGTGACTTCTATTTTAGTTCTCTTTATTGTCACTGAAGTACTCTGTAGTCTCAGGTGAGCCAACCTATTTTTATGCATTCAGCAGTGTTTCTGTGTTGAATATTACTTATTATGTAGCAAGTGGAAAATTACATTTTAAAATATAGAGTAACTTTTGAAAGTTTGAGAAATCATTTAACAATTGGTTATATAAATAAATCATCACTTGGATACTTTCCCTTACTTATAAAGAATTAAAGAAATATATTATACTATATCTATGATTTGACTACATATTTAGAAACCAGAAATACTCACATGATCTAGAATAAGGTTTATTTCCAGGTTGAAAACACAGGTATAAATGCTGCATAGACACAGCACAAACTTGTATTTACACTCCAAACTCTTTTTCAAGCTGAGAAATGTTAAAGCAAATCTCAAATTTCTACAGTAGAATAGAGACCAAACCCAAACTGAAAATAGTGGATTCTGAAGTCTGCCCTTCAAATGCTCATATAGCCTGTCACATCCGGTCTGTATCAATTTAATATCCTTGTGACATATATAGACACCATTCTGTGAGTAAATGTCTTTCCAAATAAGAGAGGAAAGAATTCATATTTAGTTGGATGATGCAAGGCATATTACTAAGAATACTTTCCATTTGAAAATTTCAACATTCAAAAAGCAAAGTAAGTTGAATTCTGAAGTTATTTAAAGCAACAGAAATGGATATGAATTTAAATGTTTACAGGAGGCAGGTAAGTAATAAAAATGAGTCTGTGCTAGTCATGAATGGCACCAGACACACTATTTCAGCGAGCACTTATGGTAGGGGAGACTGATAGAAAGCAGAGCCCTCCTAAAATCAGGCAGTGAGATATACTAACAACAGGCAATTATGCAATTTACAAAGACGGAAGGCTAGGGAAAGGTTGGTAGAAGAGTTTTCCATTTTCAAATCTTGGCAGAGTTTGCTTTTGAAATAAAAATACAATGAGAACTAACACTGAATGGGTCAATAAAACCTCTCTGAGAGTTATATTCAGCTGAAGGACGAAGGTACATGTGCTTCATGGACTTCAGATCACAATAAAAATAAGAGTGAATTTAACTCAAATTTTAAATAACAGATGTGATTCCAACATTTCAAAATAATTGGATAGGATATTTGGGGTAATGGTGGTAGGGATATTGGTCATGGTGGTGGTAGATTTTAGTCATGAGAAAAATGTAACTAGTTGAGGTGGTGCATGCCTTTAATTCTAGTACTCAGGAGACTGAGGCAGGAGGATTACTGTGAGGTTGAGGCTATTTTTGCCTACACAGGAGTCCAGGCCAGCCTGAACTACGTAGCGAGACCCTGTTTCAAAAAACAAAACAAAACAAAACAAAACAAAACAAAACAAAAAAACCAAAACAAAACAAAACCAAAAAGAAGTTGAAAATTATGGTGACTCCTACTGGTAGGCAGAGAGACTCTGTCTATATATTGGATTTTGTGCACTTTACAGGCTTTTACTTCCCCTGAAACAATGGATAAGGTGCTTTATAACTAAAGCTGAGTGGTGTTTGTGTAATGTTGGGGAAGCATTTCCACTGCAATCACAGGGTCAGGAGTCTAACTCATATACCTGAACATAACAGTAATAGATCAGTGAAGTCCTTCTGAGCCTTGATTTTCTTACTTTATGATAATACTAACATGAAGTGGCTCTTGATGTTTAAATAAAACTAGATAATACATGGGAACTGACACATAATAGGTACTCAATATACAATTATTATTTTTTTTTCTTTTTTCCGGTACCGGGGATCGAACTCACGACCGCCTCTTGCAAGGCAGGTACTTATTCCACTGAGCTAAATCCCCAGCCCCTCAATATACAATTATTGAAATGCTCAGTAATGTATTTTTAAGTGAAATTCAAGGACATCTAAAAGGAAACAGAAAAGGCAAGATGAATGTTGGAATAAATGAGTAAGCAGGCCATAGATTCCAATTTATGAGGCCATAGGACACATGAAATAGAGCTGTGTCCCTCAAGAAAGATGCATGACCTAAAGAAAGAACACGTGTCCAGAGACATTTCAGGCAGTCTCAAGATCAAGGGTTACTGTCATCTTCCCTTAACTAACTAGCTGAGTCATAGGATTTCACTTGATTCAAAAGATCAGATAGGAGGTGGGTGATGATTTCCTAGCGTATCCAAGGAGCAAAATGGCCAAAATGCCACCTTCTGTCTCTTGTCTTCATCAACTCACTCTGGCTAACTGTAGTTCTGTAACTCTTGCTTATTTGAGTGATATTTTTTTCTCATTTTAGGTCCTTTACTCTTTGCTCTAAATTAACAAATAAAGTATTATGCATATGGTGGGCAGACTTAGAGAATTATAGGAAGAATATAAGACCGCAGCCATTTTGGCAGCCTTCCTGTGAATCTGAAGGGATGAATCTCAAGAGACACTGCATGATCTCCTTTTTGAATGGGAACATGATTTTCTGCGGTGGCAAAGAAGTAGCTACGAGAACGATTACACACCACTCTGCAAGAGCTATCTGAAACTTGCAAATTATTCTACTTTAACATTGTTTAGCAAGCAATTATTTCTCTTTGTCCTTCTTAAAACTTCCAGATAAAAAAGACCCAGGGAATTAGTTGACAGGAAGCTCAAAACAAGCTAAAAGAGCACTTGGCACAGTACAAAAGCCAATGGAACCACTGAATATGGTCAATATACAGTCTATGCCAGGATCATATCAGTCCCATTATGTTCCACAGCAATAAGACCTCAGCTTGAATATAGATTTCAGTTTCCAGCATAAGAAATATAAGGAGAAAGACAAGCCAATTTGTAACATATTTAAAATTTTCAGACATATTATTTTTGTATAATGTAGAAACCCAAAATGATAGGGTCCCTCACAATTACACATGAGAAAAAATAATCAAGTCTCAGCATATGAATATTGTCAATGGTTGCTCATCACCACTTTACTATCAGGAAAGTAAAGGGCCTAGGGATGTAGATCAATAATATTTGCTTAGAATGCACTGGACACTGAATTTAATGCACTGTACTACAATAAAAAATGTCCTTGAAGGGCTTACAGTTATAAAATTGATTAAAGATACCATGGACAGAGATTTCTGAAGATATCATTTGCTGCATAGACTCTGGATATGCATAAAGAACACCAGAAACATTTGTTTCCTAGGCTGCAATCAATCCTAGTGAGGAAGAGCAGATTAAAAGTCAAGAATCGTGGGTTGTTAGCACACACTGGTGAATGGACACTACATCAGTTTTGATGACTGAAAGTATATCTTTCTCATAACCTGAAATAAATCAGTGCTTTATTTTATCCAACTCCACAGATTTCAACATGTTCAAATCCAGTTTTTCTTCCAAATCTTTCCTAAATATGCTATATTTTCTCTTCTTCTCTGTTCTAATTTCATTTATGTACAGTGATTGCTGGTATTTATTACTAAATTGACCTGCATGCATAAAACTCTTGCTTTGCCCATTGAAAATTGGGTAGATATTATACAGGAAAATGAGCTCAGTCGTGTGATAAGATTAA